AAAACAGAATATTTGTTGTTTTTTTGGCATATTCGATGTCAATGAGCTGCAAAATGTAATTTTATGCAAAGCACGAAGAAGTCAATAAAAATTTTGTAAATACTGTGAGATTTATCGAACTGTGCTGTGATGCATCACTAGATTTTTCGTTCCAATCTTTCTCAGTTCATTGCTATTTTAAGACTTTCTTCTTTAAATCGAATCACCTGGCAAAGTTCATTTTGACTGAGCATTACTAATTACAAAGACCAGAGAATCAGTGTTCTGGTAATAGTTTCAGTGAGAGATGTCGAATTCTGATTGACTTAGATCTTACTTGGAACTATCAGTGTCATGACTATTATTACAGCAAACACTGATTTTTTGAGCGGCTATCACAATCAAGTCAACACTTGCGAATATTTCTCGTTCCAACAGAGCTTTCAATTTCGCTTTTCAGCGATTTTACAAGCATTATAAGTAACGTATCCAGAAAACTCAATTCGATAATTCAAATTACTACTTACATTGAATGAAAATGAAACATTAGAAAAAAATTTATTCAATTAAAAATTGTTCTCACTATATGCTTCAAGACAAAAACGAAGATCGATGTAGTTTGAAAATGCTGAGTCAAGTAGCAAATTTCTTTATAAGACAATGTTTTGAAAAAAAACCAGAAAAAATATAATTTCAGCTCTTCGAAAGGTTTTCTCGTGAAGTGGATGAAACACACTATTTTCAATTCTACAAATACAATTCTTTCATACCAGTGAAAACTGAAGTAAAACGATGCTATTCCTGCCATATAAAGTCTTTGTCGAGAACCTTAGGAATGAAACACGGGAATCTCTCTTACCATCGAAGAATTCTGTATAACTGTTAAAACTTTGTCTCAACTGAACCAATGGTCAGATGAAAGTAACAGTGTAGGACAGTTTTTAGTCTCCTTATTTCCTACAAAGAACAAGGAAATATAATCAAGAATAGTTCTCTATATGCTTTTTGCACCAGAAAAACTTGATTTTCATTGCTCTTGAACGCCATGACTTTTGAGAAAATCTCTCAAATAACGATAGCTAGTTGGATTTGACTACCCTTATCAAGAAAAAAAAACAACTTTATGCTGCAAAAGCATCTTTCTAAAGGCTCAAAAATTCGCGAAAAAAACTGGGGACTGAGCCCTACCACGCGCCATTTTCTGGTTACGTCGCTATGTAACAAAATCATGTTTTCTGTCATCTCTTATATTCTTATTAAGACATATAGAATTAATTCGATTTTAACCAGAATTTATTTATTTATGAATTGTTTCAATGTTTGCTTATCTAGGAATTATTAGATTATTTTTTAAACAATATAATCCTTTAATGGCATTTGAAAATCTTTCATTCGATTTATTATTTAATAGTTGGATAGCTGCAATTCGAAGTTTGTTTTTTTTTATTTAATCCTTCTTCCTTTTGTGTGTGTTTCAAAATAAATAGTTTAGAATTTTTTTCTGTAAGCCTGATACATATCGACAAGCAACTATAACAAATTAGCTACCAATACAAAAAACTATAGCTTGACCAGATGATCTTTGACCATTAAATACTAGAGCAACATTAATCAATACAAAAAAATATGCAATTATTAGTGATGGACAAGTAAAACGATTTTATGGAAAAAAATAAAAGTGAGAAGCATTTTATTTATTTTTATTTGTTCACAATGCAAATCAATCTTATCCGCCCAGATTCAGTTTTTTTTTGTTTTTTTAAACCTTTTATTTCTTATATAAACATAAGACATACTTGAACATCATTAAATTAAATAAAAAAATATATTCGATTCAAGTTTCATATCAACTGGTCTATGTCAGAATATCAATATATTCATTCCTCACATATTCGAGCTACCGATAAGTCGCATCGTATTCTTTCTTTTCTTTCTATACTTTTTTTCCTTTCCTTTGTTTTTCTTTCAAGCACTTGTTGAGTGTGTAGAAGGAAAAATATCTTTATTTACAATTATTTATCGATATTGTTGAACTAGAGTCATTTTAAATGACTTCTTCTTCAAATAATATTTTACAAAACTGTTTAAATGGAACCTCCGTGGTTTCAGCTCCTGTTTCTACAAATATGATTATTGATTCATCAACTGTACCATCACATAATGATCGTCAGAAGTGAACCAAAGTCGAATCCACAGTCCATATTTCACCTATCTTGACTGATAATATGCGAGAGCTATCGATAGATGTCGCATATGATTGGATTGTTTTTCATGGTATCTAATATTTCATGTTTTCTTCACTTTTCATTTTTTACCGTTTTTCGATTAGTAAATGATCGGTTGATATTGATTATGTGTTCTGAAATCCAGAAGTTGGAATTCAAGATATTCGATGAACAATAGCTCAATATCATACGATAAATTTCGTTAAATAAGAATCTCTTATTTCGAACTATAGTAGTCAAATTTTCAATGCTTTTGCCACTTTAGTATCACTTGCTAGTATTGATTCATAAATATAAATATCTATTGAATTTGCTTTGTGTTCAAAGATTTATTTTCATTTTATTTCAACAATAAAAATCGAAAATATACGTTTATTATCAAAGGAGGTATGAAAGAACAATATAAAAAAGATTACTATGAACATAAGTTTTAGTTGCATAAGATGGTGGAAAAGAATTCAACAACAACATTTTAGCGATCATTTTTCTGTAATGTTGGGCAAGTAATATCATAATCACTATTTATACTTGCATTAGACTCATAATATGGTAAAAAACGATCAAAAAAATATTACAGTCGAGTTTTTTTTCTACTGCTTTACATGATAAGCAAAAAAAAAAGAAGGAGCTATCTTCTAAAGAAATAAAATGAAATTTACAATATACACAAGAGAAAGCTATCACAAAAGTTACAAAAAAAAGATAAAGTTAGAAATATAAAACAAATAATAAAAATAAATCTTTCATTCATTTCAAAATAAAAAAGAGTATGTATTTTGGGAATAACTTTTGATAGGAGCAAGGTGGTAATTTGCGTTTTTTTACATTTAACAAAGTGTGATAAAACTGTCTTGAATCGTATAGACCAGTTTTTTCTGACGCGTTTTCTCAGAGTCTGTCATCAAGTTTATGTAAAAAATACAACATGTTGTAATGTAGATTATAGAATTTCAATTTTCAAGTGTGCATTAAAAGAATTAGCTAAAGATCTATAAATGATGAAAGTTCTATGTTGTGAGGTTTAGTCAATCATGAGTTATAAGTACGGGGTGGCTCAAAAGTAACGTACCCAACAAAAAATTGAATATCTCGATTAAGGCTTGAGCAAACGAACTGATTTTTTTGTCAATGACAGAGGTATGTTCAAGGTTTATATTCATAAAGACGAGCCTAGAGAGACCGTTCGTTAAGTATCACCAGTGATCTCAACAAAAATATTTTTACTTTTTCACAGATAGGAAAAAAAAACAATATACAAGGTGGTACTAACGCCGCTTTACCGAATAAAAATTGAATATCTCGATTACGGCTCGAGCAAACTAGCTGATTTTTTTTATCAATGATAGAGGCATGTTCAAGCTTTATATCCATAAAGACATGCCTAGAGAGATCCTTTGTTAAGTATATTGTTTTTTTTTCTTATCTGTGAAACAGTAAATTTTTTTTGTTGAGATCACTAGTGATACTTAACGAACGGTGTGTCTAGGCTCGTCTTTATGAATATAAACCTTGAACATACCTCTATCATTGACAAAAAAATCAGCTGGTTTGCTCAAGCCTTAATGGAGATATTCAATTTTTTTGTTGGTGCGTTACTTTTGGACCACTCTGTATTTAACTACGCATGATCGACATATTTTTCATATGAAATTTTTGTTTTAATTTTTTCATAAATAATTCACACTATCCTCTAAGTTTAAAATTAGATAAAATGAACTCAATGTTCTTTCAACTTAAAATTAGCTAAAATATTATGCTTTTTCGGTCAACAGTAGCTAATAAACTTAAATTTGATAACGATCAGAATATTGCACAATAAGCACGATATGTGACCATGCAGCTGTATGAATTCTTACGACATAAATGTTGTGTGAAAATTATTCTAAGATCAACGTAACATACGATTGACTGCAATTAATCTCGCTACTAATATAACTTTTAAAATCTTTTTTTCATTGTCAATGATTAATTTTTATTTCTGAAAACCAAAAAAAAACTAAGCATCAAATAAGAAGAGATTACATGTAAAAAATTTGAAGTAGAATCATATTATTTTTGTCGATAATATTCGAATATTACCGAATTATACTACATTCTCTGAGTTAGTTCAAAATTTGCACCTGAAAAAGAAAATCGAAAATTAAGAAACCAACAATTCATGTTTACGATGTACATTGCCTGTTATTCTATTATGTCTCTATCGCGTTGAAAAAGAAAAATATCATTTTGGATAGTTGTAAAGCATGGACTTTTCATCTGATTGGCTTATAACTTCTATATAAAGTGAGCCTATTGACTTTGGTTTACACGTTTGGCTCACTTCTGTGGACCTCACATAATGAACTTTTGTCCAATGATTCATCTGATGACTTTCAACAAGTAGAAAATAAAAAGAAAAAGAAAAAGAAAATTAAACACAAACTTACGACATCTACAACTAAGAAAAAACGTACACATTATCAAACAAACACTATTTCAAAATCTGCTGCACCGTCACCTTTGTCTTCGATATCTGCTTCTGTTGCTGCTGAACCTTTACTGCATAAGATCCCAGGTGTTCGACAAGTTCAAAATGTTCAACAATTGCAAGATATTCAACAAGTCTCAGGTGGTCCACAAGTTCAAGGTGCTCTATCTTTATCTCATCCACAACAGATTTCAATCACTACTGAATCTACTCGTTATGCTCAAACACGTTACCCCTTTCCCCCCTTTAGCATCAGGTTCAATACTGGAAAAGTTACATCGAACCAAATTAAAGAAGGTTTAACTGCTTTTTGTAACAAAAATTATCAAATGGAAATCAATATCTTAAATTGTCGTTTATCTAATAGAATTTCCAACAATGAATATGATTTTCTTCTTTTCTTAAAAGATGCTTCTTCCTTTTCTTTTCTATTAGACCAGAACCATTGGCCTGATACGTTTGGTGATGTTAACTATACTTTTCCATCTTCTCCTTCTATTCCACCACAATTATCATTGCTAGTTAAAAATGTAGATCTTCGTTTGGATTTCAATGAATTTTCTCAAGAAATTAAAACACGTTATCCACAAGTTAAAAATGTTATTAGATTAAAAAACAAATTTAACAATGATATTAAATTAGTTAAACTTGAATTATCTTCGTCTACTTTACGTGAGGAATTATTAACCAAAAGAAAAATTACTGTTGGTTATATAGTCTATGACATTGATGAGTATTTAGCACCTGCATATATTTTAATTTGCTCTAAATGCATGGGTTTAGGGCACTTTATGAAGCAATGTACTCAGGTCAAAAGTACTTGTCGTACGTGTGGTGAATGTGCTGATGATTTAAAATTACATATTTGCTCTAAAATTGAAAAATGTGTTCATTGTGGTCAAAACCACAAGTCAAACTCTCTTAGATGCCATGTAGTTAAATCGTTTAAATCTGAATTAACACGTAAACTATTATCTTCCAATAATCGTTCATCCTCGTCCAGCACCAACACCTTAAACAACATGAACAACTCAAATTTCAAATATTTAAGTTCTGATTTTCCACCAATGCCTATGCCTCAATTTTTACCAACTAATCCTAATAATACTATGTTAACTAAATTAGATGATTTACTGGGAAAAATAACAGAAGTAAATAATCATCTTTCAAATCTTGAATTAAAGTATAATAGATTCGAGCAATTTATGACTGAAAAAAAAGAAAATGATTTACTTGTTAAAGAAAATTTAAATTTACTTTCTGAACAATCTGTTGAATTTCAAAAAGATTTGGTACATCATAGTCTTCTAATTGAACGACATGAAAACTTATTCATGAAATTAATTATCCCAATGTTTGAAGATCTATTTGGTTTGATTGCATCACAAAATCAGGACAAAAAAGGAAATATACTTGATCCTGATCTTAAACTTAAACTTGAACGTTATCTTATTCAAATGAAGAAAATAAAAGAAGGTAAATATTCTATCAACTAATGTCTCTTTCTCCTCTTGCTCTTCCTTTTTTCTCATGTGTTTCTCCTTCTAAACTTTCTAAACGTAATTATTAATGCGGTGCGAAGCACAGCATTTATGTAGTCCTTCGCGAGTTTTTAATGCCCTGCGAAGCAGGAGCATTTATGTAGTCCTTCGCGAGTTTTCTTTTTAATGCGGTGCGAAGCACAGCATTCATGTGGTCCTTCGCGAGTTTACTTTTTTAATGCCCTGCGAAGCAGGAGCATTTATGTAGTCCTTCGCGAGTTTTTAATGCGGTGCGAAGCATAGCATTTATGTAGTCCTTCGCGAGTTTTTTTAATGCGGTGCGAAGCACAGCATTCATGTGGTCCTTCGCGAGTTTTCTTTTTTTTTAAGGTGCGAAGCACTTTCTAGAGGCGCGTCGCGAGTTTTCTTTATTTATTTATTTCTAACTAGACCGTACGCATATTTATTTCACATTTTGTGTTGCAGTGATCTTGAGAACCGAAAGTCAGAAAATCTTCGTTCAAGTGTGAGATGAAAGCGTCGAGATCGAACCGAAAGCTCCTTTTTCTCCATTTTCGTTGTGATGTTCCGTTCGAATATAAACAGCGTCCAAAAAAGACAAAGGAGGGGGGCGTTAAGAAGCAAAAACGGCCCCCTGTCGGAATTCGACTTTGTCTTTCTAATTTTGTCAGTTTCAGTGCCAGAAATCTATTTCTATCAAAATTAGACAATTTGATGCATTGCACATTGTACCCGACTCGATTTAGTTACTCCTCTTTTCTCTATAGTATATGTTTGAAAAAGCACTAACGTACATGGTGGTTTAGTAATTATTGCTTCTCCATTTCATTTACAAATCCCCTTGATTTATATATCAAATTAAAGATCTTTCTTTTCTCTATCGAATAAGATATAAACATAAGAGAAAACATAGCTCAATTGCCTTCTTTCATATAGAAACTTCATTCTCCCTATATATATTTGCGTAGTATACACATATATTATAATGATGGTAGAGGATGTTTCACTTTGTGAAACATGCTGGTCCACTCTGGATTGTTTATTAATCGATAGATCTGATCAAGATCTATCAAATCATGCTAAATTATCTAGAGAAAAAAATGGGTAAGTGGGTCTACTAGCCTACACAATGAGAAAGAGGTCCTGTATTCTATACAATATATATATATTATAATGATGGTGAAAGATGTTTCACTTTGTGAAACATACTGGTCCACTCTGGATTGTTTATTAATCGATAAATCTAATCAAGATCTATCAAATGATGCCAAATTATCTAGAGAAAAAAGTGGGTAAGGATTTCTATTTATTGAAACAAAGAGTATTAAGTGACACATTGTATAGTATATATTTATGTTATAATGATGGTGGAGAATTTTTTATCATCAGAAATATTTGTGTCCACTTCGTATTATATATGAGATGGTAGATCTGATCGAAATCTATCGAATGATGATAAAAAAACTTGGTAAAAAGTGAAAGGCAATATTTAGGTGTGTCGTCTCGTGAAGTTGGTATTGCTGGCTGTAACAAACGAGTTATTAATGGATATTTTTTAATGATGTTGTTTTTGACGATATAATGTGATGCGATCATTGATGAATTTGGATTATTTTCTAAAAGATCACGTGGAATGGAAATGCCATAGGTGTTTTGGGATACGGAGCACATGTCGTCTGGCGCCCACATTTTCGTCGCCTTTCATTTAATAAATAGTTATTTTCTAAAAGGTTGTGGTAATGGATGATCGTTATTGTCTTTGCGGTACTCGTTTGGATCGTACCTCTACTGTGCGATCGTTAAAATCGCCGTGTATGCGAATGTTTATGTCTATTCGGACACTGAAATTTGTTACAAGTGATACGAAAATTTGTAATATGTGTCGCCATTCTTACAATAAATGGAAAAACGAAAATCCCGAATTTGGGACTATTTTGTCTCGCGTCGAATCTGATATGGTTGACATCAATTCTTCTAGTGATGTTTCGGTAAATATTTTTGCCTGTTGTTCTTTTAATATTTGACATTTTTTTGATTGAAAGAATGCTGCTATGGATATTGGAATTGATGATTCGTCGTCTCAAACAATACAAATGAATGGGAATTTGACTAATATTATCACAAAGGAAGTAGTTAAATTAAAATTAAATTCTACTTCATCTTCTCACAGGTGAATATAAGGAAAACTGTCCATAAAAAAAGTTTAATATCATTTTCTAGGACCTGTTGCATTTGTTCGAGTAATTTGAAGAACAACTCAGCTAATATTTCATCAGAAGATCGAGATTTTTTATTTTTTACACGTAATATATGGATTCCAAAGGGAGCGCGATGCTGCTCAGATCATTTAATTAATCATCGATTAAAAAAAGAAGCTATTGACGAAATCAAACCGTTGTCAATAAGAGAAGAAGAATTAAATTCTTCTGATGTTCAACTTCTTTTAAGCAAATCGCAAATATTATTTGAAAATCAAAATAGAAGATTTAATTTCGATGATCTGCGAGGTCTAACAGATGATGAATATCGTTTATTAACCAGTCTTTCAAAAGATGATTTTAATGAATTTGTTGAAATTGTATCATCATCTAGTATTCGTAACTCATCTAACCGATCCATACGAACAGCGGTCGGTATTTATTTATGCAAATTGTATCTCGGTTTATCAAATCGTCTATTGGCATGTATGTTTCAATTGCCCGATAAAAAAGCAGTTTCCCGAATTATTGACAGTGCTCGCCACGCTATTTTAAAAAGTTTTGTGCCATACAATTTGGGATTCGGGCACATTACGCGTCAAGACGTTATCGAGCATCACACCACAACAATTGCTCGAGAATTGATGTGTGGTGGTGCTTCTAATACAGCGATCCTAGTTATTGATGGCACGTACATCTACATCCAGGTAAGGAATAAGTTTACGCCCCTTTGAGTTAGTTTTTACTATAACTACGTTTTAGAAGTCGCGCAACAATCAATTTCAAAGAAAAACGTTTAATTTATATAAGAAAAGAGCTTTACTCAAGCCAATGATGATAGTAACAACAACCGGATATATAGTTGCGTGTATTGGACCATTTTTTTCGGATTTCAAGAATAATGACGCTTCAATAATGAATGATATTTTACTTCGAAATACCGATAATATACTTAATTGGTTGGAAGAAGTAAGTTTCTCTTTCTGAAATGTCAAAATACAGTGTCATTCTTTAGCGTGATATTTTGGTGGTTGACAGAGGCTTTAGAGACTCGATTTCTGTTATGCAAACTCTCGGCCTTGATATTGCTATACCACCATTTCTTGATGGAAAACGACAGTTTTCATCCGAAGAAGCAAATCAATTCCGATGCATTACAAAAGTACGATGGATAGTCGAGGCGGCAAACCATCGCATCAAACAGTTCAAATATTTTGCTAATACTGTTCAAAACTCATCGCTACCATATTTAGAAAACGATCTTTCGATTGTTTGCTCCCTCATCAATCGTTACCAAACACCAATCGCACAATCCAAACCAGAAGACATAGAAATTGGTGAAAAGATTATGAGATTACTAAATCAAAAAAATAAAATTCAATTGGTAAATAATTAATATAAGTTTAATTTTCTGTATCAGTTTTCTCATTTCACCATTTAGCTTCTGGAAGAAAATAATCTACTTCGACGTCCTTCACAATGGGAAACAATTAATCATGATCAAATTATGGATTCTTTTCCAATTATGTCAGAAGAAGATGTGGGTGATCTAACGTTTGGTAATCAACTAATTTCGATTTTTATGCGCGATTTCCCTATATGAAGAATTTTTCGTTTTTATAGGCGTTTTTCAATTAAAGCGTGCTCGTTCGTATGCTGAAGAGAAGTGTTCTTCTACAAATCTAACTGGGATAGTGGAATACACCATCCAACGATGTTTAATGATTCCCAACTTGATACGTATTCCTACTAAATCTGCGCACATCGATCGAATAACCTATCATCCAACAATACAATTTACGCATGATCATATTTTAGGTTGGTGGTGCGACTGTAACATCGGTGGTCGATTTTTAGGCTGCTGTAGTCATATATCATCAGCAATATGGTTTCTTTGTTACGAACGGTGGCAGACGCGACAGCGTCATATGTCTTCTGGAAGCTACATGACCTTGGCTACAGATGCTATTCAAGTTTCAGATTTTTATGACTCTTCTGATAATGAAGATGATAATATATCACGTTATTCGTTATTATGAGTTCCACCGAATGGTTATGTGTTCTAATGTTTCACATCGAAGATACTTTTCAGTTCATTTTGCATTCATAAAGTATCATATTTCCGCAAAGAATTAGTTGAATATAAGTCGATTAGCTATTTTATTGCAACACGATCCTACGCATTTTCTTCCAGTGACTAAGTCAATAAGTTTCTATCTCATCGATATTCTTACTTCACATAAAATACTATTTTTCAATACGATTCTGCTCATTTAGTCATATAATAATATCAGTATAAGTGGCTTAATAATTCACATGAATTTGTGCTAAATATTTCTAAAAATACACATAGTCATTCACTTTTTACCAAGTTTTTTTATCATCATTCGATAGATTTCGATCAGATCTACCATCTCATATATAATACGAAGTGGACACAAATATTTCTGATGATAAAAAATTCTCCACCATCATTATAACATAAATATATACTATACAATGTGTCACTTAATACTCTTTGTTTCAATAAATAGAAATCCTTACCCACTTTTTTCTCTAGATAATTTGGCATCATTTGATAGATCTTGATTAGATTTATCGATTAATAAACAATCCAGAGTGGACCAGTATGTTTCACAAAGTGAAACATCTTTCACCATCATTATAATATATATATATTGTATAGAATACAGGACCTCTTTCTCATTGTGTAGGCTAGTAGACCCACTTACCCATTTTTTTCTCTAGATAATTTAGCATGATTTGATAGATCTTGATCAGATCTATCGATTAATAAACAATCCAGAGTGGACCAGCATGTTTCACAAAGTGAAACATCCTCTACCATCATTATAATATATGTGTATACTACGCAAATATATATAGGGAGAATGAAGTTTCTATATGAAAGAAGGCAATTGAGCTATGTTTTCTCTTATGTTTATATCTTATTCGATAGAGAAAAGAAAGATCTTTAATTTGATATATAAATCAAGGGGATTTGTAAATGAAATGGAGAAGCAATAATTACTAAACCACCATGTACGTTAGTGCTTTTTCAAACATATACTATAGAGAAAAGAGGAGTAACTAAATCGAGTCGGGTACAATGTGCAATGCATCAAATTGTCTAATTTTGATAGAAATAGATTTCTGGCACTGAAACTGACAAAATTAGAAAGACAAAGTCGAATTCCGACAGGGGGCCGTTTTTGCTTCTTAACGCCCCCCTCCTTTGAATAGAAATGTTTATAGATTATTTTTAAAAAAAATCAATTTCTTAACCAAGCACTTAGTTGTTCTGACAAAATTTTCTATGAAATTTTTGATTCAAAGATGAATATTACAAATGATATTTTCATTCTTTGATATTTATTCGTTTGTCTGTTTCCATTTTTTTGATATATGTCGTCGTCATCATTATCAAAACTTCCACCAAAGTCATCTCATTATTCACATTCATCATCATCATCATCATCATCATCATCTTCTATATCCAAGTCAAAATTTATTTGGCGTTTTCCTCCGCCGAAATTTAATAATTTACCTAGTTGCATTTCAAAACAATCATCGACAGTTGATATTCAACCATTAAATATTGATGATGAACTTATTAAACGACAAGAATTAGCTATACTTATTTATGATCTTGGTTTACATCTTAATGTGTGAGCATATTAATCCATTATATCTTCAATAATATATTGATTTCTAAAGGTCATTTACTTGCATTTATACGGGTGTTATTTATATGCATCGATTTTTTATGCTACATCCATTTCAACAATGTCTTAAAGAAGTAAGAATATCATTGTAATTAAAAGAATTGATTGTCACAAGATATAATCAAGATAAAAATTTCTTAATATTAAATTTTGTAGACTAACAAGTTGTTGCAATGTAATAACGTATGAAAAGACTTTCTATGATCTCTTCTATGAACTTTGTTTGCAAAGGATTTCAATTGTACATAGAAAAATACTTTTATGTTTAAAACATTTCGAATGAAAAGATAGTCTATTGAAAAATCTATTGATCATATCTTTAAAAAGAATTTTATTTGCTGAAGAATAATAAAATATATTTCAATATTATCATTTGGTCAAAATCATCAATTTTTAGGACGAAAATTTTTGCGATCTCGAATAATTACGATGATTTGATCAACATATGTTTCTATGAGAAGCTTTTAATAGGTTTCCATAATGAATTGTTTGAGTTCTGTAATGTACATTCAAAATTTTGAAAATGATTTTTTATTATAATTTGAAATTTGAAAATTCTCTTTATAATCCAATAATATTGAGTTCAAATTTATGAGATGCATTTTTCTTTTGAAAAGTTTAATCAGATAAACAAGAACACTTATATATGATTGAAAAGGCTTAGATGAAACCATGAATCCATACAAACAGATTTCTTATAGCGAACTTTCATATTTCATAAGATTAGTCGAAATGTCATTTACGTTTTCATGTTGCGAACATGTGTTTTAAACAATCAGCTTAATTAGTACATAACATAAAGCTATTATATTTAACTGAAACACTTGTAAATAAAGTTTATAGAAGAGATTATGGACTGTATCTTTAAAAAAAGTTAGCTCTCTACAACAATCCCACATTGAAGAAATACAGAAGAAACCAAATTAAAACAAATCTATGCCTTACATGTAATTTATTTAGAGCTATTGAGGTTGTGTGACCTTGACTTCTATTCAGTTCACCTCAAAAGAACTAACCATTATCACTATATAAAACATTATATGATCGATAAAACTCTTTGACAATGGGTCACATATTTCAACTCTATATAAAAGAAAATACAATGAAAGCTCTATTAGTGAACATTTCTCATAGGTAGTAAACATCTTTCTACTCTGAACTTGAACATTTGTTTTTAAAATTCTGATTGTTATTTTAGCCTCATTGAAATGAACATACATGTACCTTTTTTTCTCTATCATCCTTTCGTCATTTGTAGTTAATACACTAAAACTACTGTTCATTGTTTGTTATATATGCACATATCAGGAAAAATAATGATATCACAATAATATCTTACATAAATAAAAAAAATTCAATTAATTCATAATTACAACGATGGAAATGATTCATCACAATGGGAATTAACTGAAAAATCGTATATTTCATTTTTTTCTGTATACAATATTTTAAAACAAAAAAACAGAACATTTAAATGATTATTAAATAAATCAAAATGTTAAAACGAAAATTCAAAACTTTTGACGTAATAAAACTTGATGAATGTATATTTGAATGATTTTCACAGCAATGTTCATCGAATTAACATATATTGAGACCAAAACAATAATAGAAGATTTTGTGAAACAAATGAAAATTTTGTATTTTGTTGAAAAATTTTTGGATTTATAAATATTCAAATGAATAAAGATGAACAACATAGAGAATGGTCTCTAGTTGCTTGAAAACTAGTAAAGAAATTTATATTCTGAAACTTTTCTTTTTCATTTCGTATTAAAATATCTGACATCTTCTATAAACGAACATCTCGCAATAGTGAACATTTTTCAAAAGTTTCAACACTATTTGTTTAAGAAAGATTTTATTGTATTCATTATCAATGCACCCGAAATTTCTGTGTTGTTTGAATTGGATCTTTTGTTTTCGCTTTATTGAATTAAAATAATTAAAAATCTTGATTCTAGTCAGTAGCAGCAGCATGTCTTTTTCTTGCCTGTTAAGTCAATGAAATGCCACGACCATTAAATGAATTTACTCGACATTTATATCAACTTATAAAGCAAGTACATAATAACAGTGACGATTATTCACCTACATCTTCATCAATAACAACAGTGGGGAATATTACACCTGAAGTTAGTTAAAGATAAATTGGTTTTTTTTCCTGATATACAAGAAGATGAAGAGTATTTTTAGGTTCTTTCAAATTATAATCAACAAATAATCGATTATGAAAATATGCTATTATCAACTCTTGGTTTGTTATTTAAATATATAGAAATTTTATAGATTTTCATTTTTTTCTAGGTTTTTGTCTTAATGTTGAGCAACCATATATGATTATAACGAGAACTTCTCAAACATTATCAAGTAAATTAAAATAAAAGAATTTCATGTAATTATTTTGATTATTCTTAGTACCAAAGGAAATAGCTCAAAAAGCTTGTGAAATTGCTACAAAATCGTAAGAGAAGATAATTTATTATTCGTATTATGTTTTGTAATTTTTTTAATAGTATTTTTTTTACTCTTTTTTCAATGAAATATACAACCAATTTAATTGCCTGTTTTGCACTTTATTTGGCTATAAAATCATCTCCAATAAATGTTTGTTGTTTTATTTATCTTAGATTAATTGAAATCTTTTTTTTTTGTATAATTTAGATACCGGATAATCAAGATGGTAGCCAATGGTTTCATTTGCTTAACGAAGAATTTACTGAAAAATTACTTCAAGGTCCAATTAATAGGATTATAAGATCGTATTCTAATCGATTATTTTTTTCTTAATAGAACTTACCGATGAATATCAATTAATTTGTATGGAAAAATCTTCAAAAAAATCTCAAGAACGTTTCGAACAAATTCGAAAACAAACAGTAAAAACAATATTTTTATCTATTTATGCTAAGAAAAACTTTATCTCTCATAGAAAGTCAATTGTCAACAATTCAAATCAAAACCAAGTTAGTCTATAAAGAAAGAAAATGATTTCATTCATTTCTATTTATATAGATTGTGAACAATCAAATTCAACAACATCTCTTCATGATAATGAGCAACATCATTATCCAATAGCAACAACAAGTGGTTCAGTACGAAGTACAACATCTTCTTCATCATCAATTCAACAACAACAATCGAATTTCTCTGAATATGGTAAGATATATCTAAGTTCAATCTGTTATTTTATGTTGTAATATAGGGTCGATTTCTGCATCAATAGAAACTCATCATCATACACCAAATCAATCATCTTTAATAAATTTTTCTCATAGTAATTATTCACCATTGACTGGAACAATTGTTCATTCACCAACAACAGTTTTTCAATCATCATTGTCACCAAGACACAATCAAAATAATTTTAGTGGAAAAAACCGTAACTAAATATTGACATTTATAGATAGTTAAGTTTTCTTTTTCTTTTTTTAAAATTAGATATAAATAATTCATCAATGACAATGTCATCAGCTAAACCAATTCCAACATTAATGACACCATTAACTTCAAATTCATATCATAATTCTGTTGTTTCAAGTCATCATTCACGTTTTCTGCTCCTACTTTCAAATATCCATCTTCATCTCCAACTCAACATGTTTTTCATCCACCTCCACCACCATTACATGCTCAACATTTTCATCGTCAATATTCTTCAAATTATGTTAATACTTCTGCATATTATCCTCAGCAACAAACACCTGTTTTTTATCATCCACAACAAGATCCATCGAATATAAATAATAAACGATATGGTGAACCTCCTGCACCACCTACGAAACGTTTTCGATATAATATAAATACATATCAACATTATTAAAATCTATTATTTTTTTCCTATGAACTGTAACATAGAAAGTCAGATATAGATTATTGTATAGACCGGTGCTGTTTTTTTTCTTTTTGTTCTTTCTTATGCATGTTGTATGTGTTTGTTCTCGTTGATGATATTTTTCTTTTTTTGTTGTGATAGATTCTCTTGGTTATGGGTGTATTGAACAGATATACGAAAATATATTTAAGAAAAAGAAAACCTGTATAAATTTTCTAACATTTAGTATTGATTCATTCGAATGTTAGATGGAGTGACAAAGAATTATGCATTCTTATGCCTTGTATTGACATAATGTAATTTCACTATGTACGGACAGCATTTCGGTATTATAAAGAAATCATATCATTATTGAAAACAATCAGCAAAAGCATAGTATAGATGTTGTTCAATGTTAGCTGGTGTAAGTTACTAGATAAAACGTTCTGAAAGAAATCTTCATTCGTTCTTAATATCAGAACATGTAAAACGTAATAGAATAAAATAGAAATTGTTAGTATTACAAACTTCTAGAGCTATATGAGTTTTACATTGTATGTCTTCATTGAACTGATGTAATTGACTATTTCTCCAAAGAACTGATTGGTTAATCAATATATTAAATCTACAGATTTTTCGCCGGTTAACATAATAGATTTCAACTGACTAGTCCGGTCCCATGAAAAAAATCCAACCGGTTCAAAGTATCGTTGATAGTAATATAAAGAAAATAATATTGAAGAATTCAGATGTATAGGATAGAAAATAGGCTACAAGCAATGCATACTTCTGCCATGTCGCTACTTTGACACAGACATTGCTGAACCAGAGACTAGCTCATGAATAGATGTGGATGTGGCGTATTGCCTGTGCTGGGTGTGACTATACATGTTAAATGTTTACGTTTGGTTATCTTGAGATAGCAAATTTAAGTGTATACATGCGGATAAGAGTATAGGTTTCGGTAGACAGTAGACCTACTTTCTCTTCCTCGAAGCCATATTTTTATTGTTTTGTTCCATTTTACACAAGGACTTATCTTAAGAGGATCCCTCAGAAACCAACTTTGTTATTTTCCTTTCCATTTCAACCAAATATTTCAGAAAATATTAGTCGAGACTAGGATAGATTATGGGTGAAATATCTTCCCTAAATCTTCAATATAATAACGAGTTATAGTCAATTTATTAGTCAAAAGTAGCCTGTACGCGGGCAAGGTTTTCACAATGTGAATACGAACTATTAAGTCGAGGCTAGTTTTTAAGTTGTAAAGTAACCTTAGCGCTAAATCCTAATAGAGCCTGATTTTTGAATTTTTCTTCGTTTATTTTTTAAAAAATCTTTTTCGAAAAATTCTCCGATTCATGATCAAAAAAAGGCGCTAATAAAAATGAAATATCTAAGTCTTTTATTTCAACAGAAGAGAGATTCAAAAATCGGGCTCTATTAGGATCTAACCTTACTTGTCTTCTATGCAATAAAAAAAACTTATCACTTCTCTATTGAGTCGTTATTAAGAGAAGTCTGTCCACGTATTTGGTACTGTCGAAAAAACTGATTTTGAGAAAAAGGCTAAATAAGTTTTAGAAATTGATTTTTGCGAAACATATCTGAATTATATATCAATGTTCAAGACAGGCTATAAATATATGATCTTAATCTTAAATATTAATAGTCTTGCATTGATTAATATAAAAGAAACTTTACGAAATGCTGGTGCAAAGAGAAAGCAGCCTAAAAAACTAAAACAACTTGTAAAAAACCTTGAAAATTTCTCGAAGAATATTATAGTAGGAGCCAAGTTTTAGACGACAAGTCCGTCAAAATCAATTCACTTTGCGATAAGCCATAGATATTCTAAAAGAGGAAACTTCGACGCATCTTTCTGTGATAAAACTTCGACTTCGACTTTTCTTCGAAAAATTGGACTTTCTGACGGGGGGGGGGGGGACTCTTCATCAATGTCACAGATAACGAGTAACACTAAATTAGAACTTAAACATGAAAATAAAGAAACATTAATTAAATTTCTATCTTCACCATTTAACCTATCAGTACAGATGAAGAAAATCTTCATTGTTGAAAATAATAGATGTGATCCAGAAAAGATCAAGAATATTTTGTAATATAAACACATCTAATACATGAGAATACATGAAAGTTTTTAGTAGCAGAGATAGATAAAATATATTATATACGTCATTTCACTCTAAAATCATCGGACAACGACACGTTAACCTATTTTCATGAAAAATTTCTGCTAACACGATGTCGATAAAATGCACTTTGCTGATATATATCTCTTATCTACCAAAAAAAGTATTGTTTAATATACTCAAATAATTTGTCTCTACTAAACGATTGAATAACCAAAAGAAATGCGTTTGTTCCTTATCAATTTCATTTAATCATTAAACTGTACTCATACTTTTGTCTCAAAGAAATATTTTAAAACAATTATAAAAAACTAAGATACTAGCTGTAATTAATTAGAATGTATCTATGATAAAATTAAGATTATGTGATTATATGAAACAGCAAAAGAGTAACTGTAAGAAGATTGAAGAGAAAAAGAAGAATCTTCTATTCTGATAATAAATAAAGGAAGTAACTGTAAGCAAGTATTATAAATTCTAATTATTCTTTATTTTTCTCATGTTAAATATTGGAATCATAAAATTCTTTTCATCATTATAATTTTATTAAACATAAACAAAAATATTTCCTCTTGTAGACAATGAGCTAATTATGCCATGTTTAAACATTTTCTTTCTTCTGAATAAATATCTTTCAATGATTTTGTATCTAACTATATTCAAAGGATTTAAATCAGCTGATTAAACTTTTCGATTTAAATGGTATCTAAAGTAAATATTTTTCAGAAGATATTATATCAATAGAAAAGATGTTTTTGCTTCTATGTGATTGTTAACTAGTGATATCTTACATAAATTTTTGTTTCTTTCGTATCTTTTAGTATTCTTTATAAATTCGTCATTACTAGTTCGTTCCTTATTCTTATTTCTCTATTCGTTTTAGTCGAGAAAGAAACGATATCATGCGATCGATCATGTTAGAATTTACGCACTTTTTTAATCGAGAAAAACTAGGTCATTCAATTTTAATACATTACAGTCGAAAGTGTAATGACTAAGAACAATTATTATTGATTTATAATTGTTTATTATTAACTAATTATAGTTCTTCTATGAATTCCTAGTGTTGACGATAATCATTGATTAAAATATTTTTTGATTAATGTACTTAGTTTCTATCGAAGATTCGGTAAAGTATATAACACATTTCGTAAACACGGATTATTTGTTTTTCGTTCATTTGTTTATCTTTTATCATATTGAATTATATCTAGGATATAATATTTTTTTTGTTAGAATTAAATTTGATGATTAATTTAAAATAAAAAAATGTCAAAGATCAACAAATTATTTTATGTATAATAGAAGTTTCTCTTATAACTTTAATAAATTCATTAAATATTATTTTAATCTTTTTTATTTTATTTAATATATTAAATAATCTTCAAATATATGTTTAGAAATTACTTATAGTTGATCCAGTATTTAAAGACCTTATTTTAAATGAAATATCTGATATTAGATCATTACATATAAAAGCATACGAACAACGTAACCTACCATTTGCTCAACAAGATGAAGATTTAGAAAAAAAATCTGAGGAAGATTTAACAGTATATGTTAGAATTTCTAATAATTAATTGAAATAAAATATTTTATTTGTTTAGGAATTTTTATTTTCTGTAAATAATATTTTAGCTTCAGTAGTTGTTAATTCAATAGATGAGAAAACAAAATTTTTTTTTTATGTGCATCACGACAAATTGATAATTTAATAAAAAAAAATTTCTATCATCAATCATTAGGTGATGCATTATCTGATATATTAAATAATTATATTTATTTAAATAATAGAAATAGATTTTTAGTTGAAAAATTTTTATATCAAATTCAGATATTGAAATATTATTTTATAGTTATTTTGAAACATCATATCAATTATCTGTATTACGAATAATTAAACAAATAAATTAAAAAAATTCGATAATAAGGTAATTTTATTATGAATACTTATTTGTATTTTTGAATATATTGGAAAAAAAAAGAATTTTATATTAAATTCAATGATAATTTTCACTGATTATTTTTCTTCTAGATATGCTCTGAAAATAACCTTTTCATTCTAGATTTCTCTAAAATGACTTCAAAGAAGGACGAAGATAAAATCAAGTGTTTGTTTTATTATGCACAAAATTATTTCAAAAAAAATGAATTTTTTCATAAAACACAACTCGTAAGAAAAACAAAAAGCTTTTTTTTTTTAAATTTTATTTTATCTCATAGGGCAATATGGTATCTATGGAACTAGCTAGTGGTGTAGGAAAAACTTGTTCGATCGATTATACATACAAGAACATATTTGTACAATTTACAATGAAAAGAATTAAAGAAAAAATATTTGTAATTTTCGTAGTAAGCAAAATATTTTTACATTATATATGATAAGTAAATTAATTTATCAATTTTAGAATAATGAAATAGGTCTCAATCACGACATATCATTTCATATTGATCGGTACGTCGAAAAAATTGGTCAAGCATATGAGTAAGATGCCATTCTTCCTAAAAAAATTTCTTTTTTTTTTATTAGAATTAAGGATGAAGAAGATTTAAATAGATTATTGAATACTTTGATCAATAAAATCAAAAGTTTGTTACCATCACCATCACCTAATATGAATCCACCAATGCCACCTAATTTTTATGGACGTGGAGTACAATTAGGTGAAGTACAATTAACAACACAAATGAATTATAATGAAGGTCAAAAAACCTATATTTTGTTTTAAATTTTATAATCAATATTCCTTTTTTTTTTCCTTCAGATGCTTTAAAATTGTCAAATTCATCAATTGATCAAAGATCAAAAGAACTAATAACTAATCCAGGTCTTGAACATATATCTCAACCAATTTCATCGAATTTAACAACACCACATGATCCATATGATCCTAGTCATTTACCTCCATTAAATTATTCAATGCATTCAAATGCAATGATTAGTTCAAATTTTGCTGGTCCATCACATGCATTAGAAGATTTAGTATTTCCACCACCTCGTCATCAACAACAAAGTATTCGTTTTCCATCTATGATGAACAATAATCTTAGCAATGAACCACCACATCATTATTCTTATATGAATCCTCATAATGTTAACGTGGATGATCATCGATTACCTGGTCATCAACAACAAAATATTCATTCTCCATCTATGATGAACAACAATCTTAGCATTGAACCACCACGTCATTATTCTCGTACGTATCCTCGTCCAGTGCACGTGGATGATCATCGACAACGTCCAATACCACAACCAATTTATTATACATCTAGTCCATTAACAATATCAAGCCAATCATCATATGGTGAACGTTTAGATCTTATTGGACCGCCAAGTCAAATACAAACAGGTACAATTGATCATGATGCATCATCTACAATTGATCATGATGCATCATCTACAATTGATCATGATGCATCATCTACAACTGTTCCTGCTTCTCAACTGTCACCAAGATCATCAAATAGTCCAACATTTCGCGCAATACTAGAGGAATGTAAAATACCACCATCAAATGTTAATGCCAACAATAAACAATCACAACCTTAATGATGGTATTTTTTTTCCACATGGAAAAAAACAATTTTCTTTTTCTTCACTTTTTATGTGTGCGATATGAAAAATCGACTTTTATTTTTTCTTTTTTTTTTATATGTAATATGAAAAATTATTAATAAAATGTATAGAAACAACATGATGACAAGAAAGCATATCAGATGTCTATCTAGGGAATCATGCGGGTATAAATAAAATACGATGCATTTGTTGATGTATGCTTTCGAGATGATAATCATTCGAAACTGTTTTATCTTTGAATGAAAACTAATGATTTAAATTCATTTTAAGATAAATGAAAATATTTGATGTATCATTAACTATACATGTGTAGATAAATTCATTTAATGTAGAAAGTAAAGCATAGAAATGCTTCAATCAATTATGTATAGCATTTGTAGAATGAAATTACAAATGATCATCGTCATAGAATGGGTTTGAAAAATGGGATAACTCAGAAAAAATAGTTTGAAAAAAATCTTCAGTTTAAAATCGACATCACATACTGTAGTTCATCGTCAAAATAATCAATAAATAGTATTGCAACTCAAAAAATAACAAAATTTCCTTTATCAAGTGCTACTAAATCTCATTAAATACTTCAAATAAAATCAAAATCAATGAATTATCGAATGATATTCTATTTTATATTTTTCGTTATTTACCAGAAGAGTCAAATGTTTGTATCATCAAAAGAAAATGTTAGTTAAACATAGTTTATGTTTTCTTCTGTTATAATTAATTCACAAATGAAAATTCTGATTACCATTAGACGACTGCATATAATTCACGCGATATATGGTTATCAAAGACAAATGAAGTCAACCAAAAATATGCAGAGTATCCCAAAAATTCAGCGTGAAAGTAATTCGTATAACACAGCTATTTAACAAGCTTATTTAACTCATGTTTTTTTATATGATAGGGTAGGGATGGGAAGTTACCGTTACCGTTCCCAGGTAACGGTCTGGGAACGGTAACTTCCCACCCCTATGATAGGGTAACACTGAAGTTTTTATTTCTATGGATAAACTTCGCAAACACTGCTCAAACTTATTTCTTTTCATTGAAATACAAAAATCAGTCGTTTTTCGATTTCAAAAAAAAACTATGCAATATTTTTTCTTTTAATGCTTCAATTTCATACGTTTTTGTGATGTTTATATCGGTCAAATCTTGTGTTGTGGTTTATATGTATATTTATAACGATATATTACTACATAAGAAGC